GTTGTTGTTGTTGTTGTTGTTTTTTCAAGAATTATTTAATTTTGGGTCCGGCAGGTGGCGTGGTGGTAAGGTTCCTGGACTCACATGGCTGACTGCGATTCAAGTCCCAGACCTGGTGGCTTCCTTTCTCACTTTCCCTCTCTCTCTTGCTCTCTCTCTCTCTGGTCAAAGTAAAATAAATAAATAAAGTTAAATAAAATTATTCTTTCTTTTTTTTTTTTTTTGAGAGGTTTTTGCTATAGGGTGTGTGCGCTCTCCAGAAAGAGACAGAGAGACAGAAAGCGAGAGATTATCTCCCGGGGGATGGCCATTCCACAATCCCTTCTCCATTTTCCTCTTGGGATTTTGGGCATGCACACACATGTGCCTGGCGTGAGTTTAAGCCACCAGGTCTGGGACTCCAACCGCAGTTGACTATATGGGAATCCAGCGACATAGCCATTATGCCAACTGCTGGTCTCAAATAAAATAATTCTTTTTATTGAGAGATTTTTGCTATAGGGTGCATGTGCTCACCAGAAAGACAGAGAGACAGAAACCACCCCCAAAGGGGGATGGCCACACCACAATCCCTTCTCTGCCATTCTCCTCTCGGGATCTTGGGCATGTACGCACATGCGCCCGGCATGAGATTAAGCCACCAGGTCCGGGACTCGAACCACAGTCGACTACATGGGAGTCAAGCGACATAGACATTATGCTAACTGCTGGTCACAAATAAAATAATTCTCTTTTTTGAGAGGTTTTTGCTATAGGGTGCGTGCGCTCACCAGAAAGACAGAGAGATAGCGAGAAATCACCCCCAAAGGGGGATGGCCATGCCACAATCCCTTCTCCTCCATTCTCTTGGGATCTTGGGCATGCATGCATATGTGCCCAGCATGAGTTTAACCCACCAGGTCCGGGACTCAAACCACAGTCAACTACATGGGAATCCAGCGACATAGCCATTATGCTAACTGCTAGTTCCATAAAATAACTCTTTAAAAAAGGAATTATTTCATTTTATTTATTATTATCAGTATTACTAGTTTTTCATTTGCTATAGGGCATGCATGCTCACCAGAGAGAGATGAGAGACAGAAAGCGAGAACAAGTTGCCAGCTCCCGGACTTGAACTGTGGTCAGCCACGTGGGAGTCCAGCACCTTAAAAAAAAAATACATAAAGTTATTTTATCTAGTTATTTCATTTAACTTTAAAAATTATTTTATTTAGCTTTATTTTTATTTCAATTTGACCAGAGAGAGACAGAGTGAGAGAGAGGAGCAAAAAAGTAAGCCCCCCTGGTCTGGAACTCAAATCCCAGTCAGCCATGTGGGAGTCCAGCGCCCTTAACCACCACGCCACCTGCGGCTCTAAATGAAATAATTCTTAAAAGAAAAAATATCCTGCAGTAGATGATGCCCAAGTGAAACAGTAGCTGCTCCAGACCCAACGGGCCAGGGGAGCAGGTACAAGTAGAACAGCAGCTCCAGGTGCAACTGTAAAACTACATGAATAGGTTGACGTTGAGGTTCTATCGATCTAGGGAGAGTGGGGCCGAGTTAGAAAGGCTATGCTTGGGGTCAACAGATGACGTAATGGTTACATCCATCGCTGAACTCACACTATGGCTTGACCCTAGTTTGAGTCCCAGACCCGGTGGTCTCAAAATCACACCAGGTGCATGCACAAGATCTCAGGAGAATGGAGGAGAAGGGATTGCGATTGTGTCGTGGCCATTTCTCGGAGCGTGATTTCTCACTTTCCCTCTCTGGTGAGTGCATGTGCCCTACGGCCAGCTATGCTTTGTGTGAAGAGAGTGTCAGGGGCCGGGAGGGGGTGTAGTGGTTAAGACACTGGACACTCCCACGTGGCTGCCCATGGTTCAAGTCCTGAACCTGGCAGCTTGCATTCTCACTTTCCTTCTCTCTGTCTCTGATCAACATCAATAAAAATAAAATAAAATAGGAACTAGAAGTTAGTGTAATGGCTATGTCACTGGACTCCCATGTAGTAGATCATGGTTTGAGTCCCAGACCCATTGGCTTAAACACACTGGGCGCATGTTCGTGTGTGCCCAAGATCCCGAGAAGAGAAAGGAGAAGGTATTGCAGCGTGGCCATCCCCCCTGAAGGGTGATTTCTCGCTCACGTGCCCTATAGCAAAAACCTCTCCCAAAAATTAATTAATTAATTAATTAATAAACTTGAATAATACATAAAAAAAAGAAATATACATAGATCATCTGACACTGCCCTCAGGTGCACCTAGGTTAAGATTCAACAGGTAAGAGATGAAAGTCTAGTGGCCAGCAGGAGGTTAAGATGCTGGGCACTCCCTCATGACTGACTATGGTTCGAATCCTGGACCTGGTGGCTTCCTTTTCCACTTTCCTTCTCTCTCTCTCTCTGTGTCTCTCTGGTCAAATTAAAATAAATGAATGAATAAATAAATAAAAATAAAAAAAATAAAGTCTAGGAGAAGACTTGAACATGGACATGAAGGTCTATGGAGGTCGATGGATGGGGGGTGGAGATGGGCTTGTGCAAGCAGAGGAAGCCCTCAAGCTCTGATGGTGAATATCTGTCAAGAGAATCAGGAAGAAATAGGAGTCAGATCGAGAAGAGTATCGGGAAGAGAAGATAAAGACCCAAACTGGGACTTGGATTGGACATAGTGTCCTGGGCAGGCCCTGGGTGAGGACAAGAATATTACCTGGGAGGGGTCAGCAGGTGGCATAGTGGTTAAGGTGCTAGACTCCCACGTGGCTGACTGCACCTCCAGTCCTGGACCTGGTGGCTTGCTTCCTCACTCCCCCTCCCACCCCACCCCCTGTAAGCCCAAGTGACCTACAGTAAATTTTTAAAAAATAACAATATAATTTTTAAAAAAATTTTTGCTATAAGGTGCATTTCTCGCTGGAGAAACAGAGACAGAGAGACAAAGTGAGAAATCACCTTCTTCCCCAAGGCGGATGGCTACATCGCAATTCCTTCTCCTCCAATCTCCTCTCAGGATTTTGGGCACACACACATGCACACATGCCAAGTGTGTTTTAAGCCACCAAGTCAGGACT